TTCAACTTTTTTGATTAAAAAATAACCTAAATGTGGGTGGCCTGGTTAAGCTCAGCTGGGTAGACTGGCGACCCCAATGTACCGAGGCTGAGTCCTTTTGCTGGCAGCGGCCAGGGTCTCCAACTCCCCCCCCCCATCCTGACGCTGGCGGCCCTTTGCTGCGTGTCATCCCCTCTCCTCTGGCCCCCCTTTCCTGTCTCTCTCCAGCTGTCACTATCATGAAGGCAATAAAAGCCCCCCCCCCCAAGAAAAATAAATAAAAATAACCTAAATGTTTAATCAAGTATCAGAGTAGTTGTTTATCATAAATAAATTATTCTCGGTCAATCCACTAATTGATTAATTAACATTAAACTTAAGGAAAATAGTTGCGACTTTATTATTTTTGGTGTAATTGTTCTAAATAATAATAATAAAAAATTAAAATATAATTGTTGCTAAACATGTGAAGCCTTTCTGAAACTGGTTTCTACAGGAATTATTTTGATTTTGATTTGGTGTTTTTTATTTTCAGTATCGTCTGCATATAGTGGTACAAAATTTCATAATTCGCAAGTTAAGTGTTGGCGGACTCGGCTCCAGAAGTAGAGCCAGATGAGCAGGTAACAGAACCGGGCTCAGATGTGTCCTGGCCCCCCGCTGTAACCCCCAGCTCAGGAGGAGGAGGAGGTGGGCGCTGACGGATGTCTGACCTCTCGCTTCTCTCCCAATTCACCACCAATATATACTGTAAATGTTCTTTCCTCCACTGCAGAAGAAGAGTGTAGTTTGAACTGTCTACTCTTTATTTTAAATAGTTTTTCTTATTTATAATTATATTTATTAAACTAAAGCTGCATTTCTTGATTAAAATAAGTTATAAACTACGACCACTGTTAATACTACAAATCCATTTACTACTACGACGGCTGCTGATGAAGTTTTTTTACCCATAACTCTGCATGTTTACCTCTATTATGTGTATCAGCTTGAAATCTAGATTGTACTTTAAAATATGACAAAAGCTTCATAAATATGAAGCATAAATACAGAACTTAACTGTTTTTCTGCACTTTTTTAGCATTTGTGTATGAAAGGTTATACATACAGTTACGTGAGTTTATTATTACTGATACTAACTCTTCTACTAACACTAATTAGCTGTAATTAAGAGCCTTCTACTACTACAATCTTTACTACTAATGCCATTTCTTGCAGTCGTTTCAGTGCCAATATGAAAGATTTCTACCTTTTTAAACTGCTGATATAGATTACATAGATTTACTGCTGTGGCTCAGGTGGCAGAGTGGGTCGTCTAGTGACCGGAGGGTTCGATTCCCGGCTCCCTAGGCAAAAAACTGAACCTCAGAGTGCTGCCAATGGCTGTCAGTGTGAGAGTGTGTGTGAATGGATGAGTTTCACTGTATAAACACATTTACAGGAATCTGCAAATTCACATTTTTCAATCTCATGTAACAAACAATGAGAAGAACTCATAAAATAAAGGTTGACCTGAAGCATTTGTAGTTGGACTCAACGATAGTCGAGGTTCAGGTCTGAAGAGTTATATGTGGTGTCTCTTAAATTGGTACTTTTTTAATTTGAGGTTTTGTATAGAAGTGTTAACGTGTGTGAAAGCGAGCTGATTGTGTGTACATGAAACTCTCCCTGCTGCGTTCATCAGATCACATCACACCAACCCCCCCGACCACACACACACACACACACACACACACACACTCTCACACACTTCCTGTTCAGTTTATATTTGATGTATCTTCGCTGCTATCTGACTTTATTTATATCAGTTGAACCACCGAGGCCTCCTCCAACCCCCTCTGATACAAACTGAAGATACGGAAGTGACCGTGAATCATTGAGTGCGGCAATCTGCTTGTACATCAGCGTCACCATGGCGACGTGATGCTGTGGTATCAGGTGTGTGTGTGTGTGTATTACAGTACGTGGTGTGTATACAGTCGTGTGCCTATACAGATAACAGTGGTTGCTGTGTGTGTGTGTCGTGTATACAGTACGTGTGTGTATACAGTGTGTGTGTGCCTGGTGGTGTAAAAAATGAAAGGAAAAAACACTCTGTATAATAACATTACAACATGCTCAACCGCGACTGGAGGCTTTTCAGGGACTATTTTTCCAGTGGCGCGATGAATCCCAGGGTTGAATATTACATGTCTCACTGTTACTCTCTGCTATAACGTTTGCAAACAATAACCTGAAAATAAGCACCCAGAAAGTCAGATTAGTGAGTATAATTCACATTTTTCCCGCCTCATTCTGTCATCTTCCTTTAATTAAATGAATCAAAACTCTTATAGCCGAAGCTTGCTGCTAATGGTTAGCTCGAAACTGATAACATAGTCCGATGTGGACAGCCACAACCGCCTGACGCACGGCCCACACACAAATGGCCTTCCACATGAACCAAGACAAGTTCATTAACGGGGTGTAAATGTGTGTTATCCGGAGGTGCCTCCGGTGAGACCTGTTAAAAACCCGTACCGATAACAGACACACAAGCTGGGGAGAATGGTAAGCAGTAAACACTACTGCTCTGGAGACGGTATTAATCAACTTAACTGTGTATAAAACAACAATCACACAAAAACGCTCCAAACAACAAAAAGCTGAACTTTCAAAATAAAGGCGAGGCAGTATTTCTGGAACAACGCATGATATTAGACAAGCGTGAGGTCGGAGCCGCTGACCAGGAAGACAAATCGGCATTCTTCCCTGGAAACTCACCTGTTGAGAGACACAACTGCGAGGGAAAAGGAAGAGGAAAGGGTCTTAGACCACAGGGCTGAACTTGTATTAGTGTGGACTCCCCCTCTCTGACCCCACACCAACACACACACACACACCACCACACACACACACAACCACCACAACACACACACACACACACTGAAAAAGCCTGCATAGCCAATCTCCCATCCACTCATTAAACGACGGTCGTTCCGTTCAGGCAACGTTTCTACCCATTTATAGACATTACTTGAAGAAATGTGTAGGAATATTGATATATTATCTACCAACCACTGGCACATGCTCTAATAAACCATCTGTACGTTTACAAGTTATTATTATATAATACATCGGAAATATTAATAAAATTACGAAGATATATCCGTGAATTCACGTGTTTATATTGTTTAATTTAATGGACTATAAGTCCTAGTTACACTGACAGAATCTTTACTAATTGATGGAAGTTTGGAATAAATGTTGTTATCCAGTGTGATAAGCATTGTAAAACTGTCCCAAATACAGTTATATCTATCCAGTGTAAACAGCAACTAATTACTGTCATCTTCACAGATAATGATTTATATTACAGTTCTATACTTTTAACCATTCAACTTAAAATAAATAACCAATCCAATAATAACAGCACATCTGCTGTAAATGTAATTTCTGATTATTTTTATTACTAGCAGAGTTCACCCTGGATTTACTAGATTCATTGTTCTTACACCTGTAATTATCTTAATTAAAACATTTGATTAACACATTAAATTTTAAAAAACCACTGTATCTTAAATACAGTTCTTTACGGAGTCCAGTCTATTTATTAAAAGTATTCTTTTTAGGCGATTCCAGCATGCAGGAAAATGACGAACTGGTCTCTTTATTTCTCACTTTTTATAGTTTTTAAGCTTAATCTTCGATTCAATCTGCTGTCCATTAACAGTGCTTCACACGGTCAGCCTGATAACATCTGCTCCATCCCATGAGACTTGTGTT